GGCATGCAATTGTCCTACCTCTTGTAGGGCAACAAAGTCCAGGGCCTCCCCTGAAGCATCAAGCCAACTATCAAAATCATGTAAGGTTTTGCCTTGTATATTCCAGGAAGCAAAGGTGACGACCTCAGGCTTTCGGCTTTCCAGCTGCGATCGTGCAGTCTCGGGGGAAGATGTTCAGCAGGTAAGGAGTCTATCCGAAATGTTCTCTTCGGTAAGCTGGGTATTGGCGGCAATGAGACTGAGGTTGAAGTGGTAAGTCGCCCGTTCACCATACTCATCTTCAAAGGTCTTGTTCACTGTCTTGTGCGATTTGTCTGCCATGAGCCTTTCGATTGTGGAGGCTGCGACTCGCTTGGAACCCAACCACACAATTTGCCTGGTCCAATCCACATCATCGCGAGGTATGTCGTACTGCACTAAAGTCTGCAAGAAATCCAGAACACGGCGCGTAGTGCGGTTTCTAGCCCTCCTCTCTGCTGACTTGTTTGGTGACATCCAGGACTGCGCGGTGCCTGTCTGGAGCTTACCCTCATAGAGCTGTTGGAGTTGGAAGAACCTTTCCTTGGCATTCTCCCAAGGGAGTTCTTGTAAGTGAAGATGAGCGGTTCTCGCCCTTTGACCGCGCACGAGGAACTTCGCAACCATTGTCCTATGCTCAAGCTTCCATAATTCCAGGAACGTCGCCACTGCACCCTCAATGTCCTTTCGGGGTGTGTCCACCTCAAACGCACCCAGAACTACATGGTTATAGTTGATGTCCTCAGTGCATGTCTTCAAAGAGGTTGGGCTACCGGAAGGAGACGCAGCAGGACCCTTGTATAGTCGCCATGGATCTGAAGGAATAGGTTGAGGCATGGGAGGGGGGACTGCACTGAAGTCACGTCTGCCCTGTCCCAGGCCGTCAAGTCTCTTAGACATCGCGTCCATCTGCATCTTCAATTGCTCAATGTCCCTTTTCCTCTCGCTTGATTCGCAGTCAATACGTTGTCCCAAGACCTGTAGGTTTTCACCCAGGATGGCAACTTGGCCCTGAACTGCCAATTGGAAATCCTGAACCCATGATGGAGGCTCATCTTGGGTCCTCGCAATCGACAAGTCTGCTGCCTTGCTTTTTGCGGGACTGGGAGATCTAGATCTCAATACCAGCTGCTCATCAGGATGCCCCTCTTCAGAATCATTGCCAACAGCGCCAATACCAGCCATGACCCCTCTATCCTCAACCTCAAGACCTGAGCCGAAAACCTTGAGCCGTAGCCATTTCCCTAAACCCTAAACGCCCTAAAC